TAACCCTAACCCTAACCCAAACCGTAACCCTAACCCTAACCCTAACCCAAACCGTAACCCTAACCCAAACCCTAACCCTAACCGTAACCCTAACACTGACCAGTCACATAAGACGGCTATTTTACCCACAATGCAGCTCAGTTGGGGATCACCTTTAATACCCTGTTAATGTACAGTATATTTGTTTATTTTTTTCAGATACACACACTTTCCCCAGTAAACACTTCAAGATGCTTAACCTAAATTACCGAGTCAGTCATCTCGGTTCATGTTGTGTGTCACTAAATCATAGATCGCAGACGGCTTTGGTTTAGGAAAGTACCAATCTGTGCTTTTTCTTAGACTTGATGAAATAAGTGTGAGGAACCATCAGAGCTCTGCACCAAAATGATTATTTGTTTATCCCTGACTACATATTGTAGTTCTGCTAGAATGTACACTTTACCATACTGACAGTGTGGTGTCTACTCATGTGTGCTGAACCCCACAGTAAGCCCATTCTAACCTACAATTGTCTACAGATAGTGCACTTTTGTATTATACATTATAATACTCTCAAAACAAGGTTGTTATGGAACTTTCTCATAAACAACATGCATCTTTAGTTCAGTTTTTCATACAAACAATTTTGCATTGCCAGACCGACAAACGTGTCTATTTTCCAGCTCATTGCCAGTGATTTAAAGCACCCACTTTGTCTAAACCATCTGCAGTAAGTGTCTGGAAATGGCGTGTGTGTGTGTGTGTGTGTGTGCGCGTGTGTGTCCCAGAGGCTGGACCCCTCCCTCATATTGAGAGGCCAAATTTACAGATTACTCTACCCAAAGAGACCGATTTTCCACCTGGGAATGTTCATCAGCCCACGAAGGCTGGGCTCATTAAAGGCTTCGTTTTAGTGAAGCACAAATGGGTGAAGCACAAATAAACATAATAATAAACATAATTAAAACAACCCACCGTCTGCAGGTTTCCAGTCCATGGCTGCCACATCTGTGCTGTACCATGTAAAATAATAAATATAAAAAAGAACATTGGTTTGTAGATTAATCAAGTTTATATTCCTTGGGTCTGATTTAGCTTGTTTTCATCACAGTGTGCTGTACAGCAATGATGATTCCGGCACAGCTGACCAACAGCATAAGTAGCAGTGACAGAAAAGGGCTGTAGACTTGTGCTCAAAATTAGTTTATTATTTCTAGAGAAAATATTTCTAGATTTTCTCTCCCCTTTACTGTTCTAGAATGCGTACCCCCAGTTGACTCTCCACGGAAATCTATTTGTTGCCACAACAGGACAGCTGATTCTAACGAGCTGTTCCTTCAAGACACTGGTAAGAAAAGATTGCCGTTCTGGTTTGGACATGCGGACTATGTCTGGACAAACAGCTGCCAAATGGTTTGTTCATAGTGACATTTCCTCTAAAGTCAGCCATTCGAGTGTGCAAGTCAAGCAGTCTCCTTGGCCTGTCTCTCAAAACAAGCCATTTTACATGGGATGGAGCAGTTATTTTTTCACTATAAGAATGAAACAATTTCATTTCAAAGCTTAGCTGCATTTTGACATCTTAGTATGCTTGTAAGAAAAACAATCAAGCATTAAAAGTGCACCTTTTAGCACAAATTTTTCAAATATAAATTAACTATCAAACCGCATTAGCAATCTCAAGAGCAACAAAAAAGCTTTGTTTCTGCAACATTTACCATAAGAAGCAAAATCACAGTATAATGTCTAGGATTTCCACACTATTAACTTTAGACAAACATTCCACATGTAATGTGTTTCCGCATTACATTTCTAGCCTTATTGTTGCACACTGTGCTTGAAACTTAAAATTCACCCAGCTGTTTGGTAAATAATCATGCGTGGCCAGCCCTGTCCAATATAGATATAACTAACATTGACCAGTACGATGTAGTAAAGGTTAATACATCTTTCTGGGAAGGGTTGCAAAGACATATCTAGGGCTCTGAATCTCCACTGAACCACATTCAGTTCAAATTCTGAAAAAAGTGGAGTTTGGGGCAGTAGGTAATCTGGAAGTCACAAAGAGCCCCGAACAAACTCTACATACCTCCAGGCCTGTTTTACCACCAACTGAGGGTCAGTGTGGCAGAAAGACAATCTGAGAAATAGGACACATGGTAAGACGAAAACCAAAGGACACTAAGAAGAACATTAATGCTGATATTTTGCCAACAAATATATCGTCCCTGTTCGATGAAAACCAGGTATGTCCACTTTTTGACGAATGTGATTTTTTTAGTATAAATGGAATATGCTCATTCTCTTCTGTTTACTGATAGCATTTTACATTTACTGTAACTCACCAATGCAAAGATGTTTAAGGAAGTCATCTTACATTTATATTTATTCATGATGGTGATTGATGTGGATTACTTTATATCGCTAATTTTAACAACTTGATGTTAGACAGCTAGTTAACATCACTATTAATTGTGAATATAAGGCGAGTTTAGTTTGTATCTCGTTGACAAGGACATTCTTGCCTTATTGACAACAACCCACATCAGCCAATTTAAAACAGTAAACCATTCGCTGGCGGCTGTATAAAGACAGATTAATATTTGGCGTGCTAACGGTGTTTTAATTTTAGGTTTAGGTTGGTTTGCTACATCAGGACCAGTGTGACCAGGGCTACACATACACCCCATTATTTAATTTCGCTTCATTTGTTCCCCCAGAAATAGACCTTTACTTTTATACTATTAAGTTGTGCCCCCCAACCCTCCAATATCAAACTCTGTCCTACGCCATTGAATATGACTTTCCGTCATTGAAAGAACCATAAATTTCACTCTGCACCAGAGAATTCTACAGGGAAATGTCTGGTCAACTCCATGCTGAAACCAAGCCGCGTAATTCAGAAACACAATGATTCAATTAACGTGGTAAATGATTCAAAACACATTAACAAGTCTGCATCAGAATGATTCACAAGAATATTGATATATTAGACTGGCCGGGCTTATAACCATACAAATATCATGGGACAGCCTGGAGCGAAGGCAGAGGCTGATTAATATGTATAAGAAACGGTTGCTTATATAGATTTCATTATGCTTTTAGAAGGGTAATTTGGTGTCAAAATGCATTTTTTTTGTAAAGAAAATGACATCACTCAGTTTTCTTCACTCAGGTTCCATTTTCTCTAATATGCCATTTTATGTGACAATCTGATGAGATGCAGCATCAAAAATAATGCAAAACGACATTCAAGGGAAACATATTTTCATGAATAAAATTGCTGTAACACTACAAAATAAAGGCAAATTGTATTGTTATAGTGACAGATGGGCTTGCGTGGAATTTCTCACAAATCACACAGAGGCATTTTGTTTTTGATCAACATAAATTTAAATTTTGATAAATGCAAACTTAAATTTATGGCTTCTGTAAAAAAAATAGACTTTTTGAAGGG